AATTAGCCTTTTTTCCCCCTAAACTGCACAGCTCCATAACTAAATGTGACAGACTGAGAGAAGCAGTTTATTAAGACACCAGCCCCAAGTTTATTTAGTTCATAAACTCTCTCCTAGAAAATCAATACAGTCTGTACGGGGTTATTAGGTTGACTAGCTAATACATCCAAATCTGCTCTGCCCAGCCAGCAGTCCTCTGACAAAATGCTACCCAGAGTATGCAAACTGAGCTCTCTCAGCCTGCGAGGTCTAACTGAACAAGCCTGCCACATAAATGCTACCTAAATATTCCCGCCACAGCCACACCTTAACAACTATCAGGGTAGCCTTGTAAGATTTACAAGAAAAATCATCATTATACAGTATTGTAACTGCTAGATGGATTTTATCAAACAAAAAAACCTTAACTAGTTCCTAAAACCAGTTTTAAAAAAAGAATAGAAGCTTTGTTATAATAACAGACAGAAACCCAAAGAGTTAACCACAGATAAATATGTTAAAATATAGCACAAACTTAGAACATTTGTTATGCTCTATAAATTTTAAGTTTTAAATCACTTTTAGTAAATTTTAGAGAATAAAAATCTGATCCCTCTAGAAATTCCCTAAATGTGTTCTGTGAACTTGTCATTCGTTTCCATAGGGAAAGTGTAGAACCCTCAGTCCCCTCCCTCATGCTCTTCTAGCCAGTAAGAGACTGGAATCACTTTAAAGACACAGGTCCAAGACAAACAAACAGCAAAACCAAGGCACTAAGACACCTTCTGAGGTTTTCCACTGGCTCTGCGCTCTGCTCTGTAGATTACGGAGTAACCCTCTGAAATTATTTCTATCCAAGTTATTTACAACTAGGCCACTGGGGTAAACATTGCTTTCACAATGACTGCTTTCTTTTTCCCTGATTTCAAGTCATGTACTTCAGGTTAAGGGATCCCAACTATGAAAGGTCACATGAAGCTCCTCTCAGTCACTGAAAGCAAGAGTGGGCTGTGTACAGTAAGAAGTCCATCAACTAGTTCTCCAGTCCCTGAAGAAACCACAGGAGTAGTTCTTTATAACACACAGCAGCAGCAGCAACAACACACACACACACACACACAAATACACACACACACACACACACACACACACACACACCTCTTAAATGCATTTTACAATGGGAACTTAAGACCAGGAAACTAAACAAGGTTAGGGGAAAGACTGTTGGAAATTACTAATAATGTTCCAAGGGGGGAAAAGATGTACTATTAGTATGCCTTCCTTCAAAATTCTAAATCTTAAACCTTAATTTAAAAAAAAATTAACTAATATTCAGTTTATAGATGCTACAATTAAACAGTTATTCCCATAACCTTTAGCTGGTGCCTAACATTTCCTAAGTCATGTAATACTTTTAAAAGTCAAGCATACACACTACACCTGTACTATATGCACATAATCTAGATAGTAATTAAAAGCTGTGATTACACGAAACTCTTGCTTTTCAAAACCTTTTTGCACGTAACTACACACTGTGCATGTGCCCTCAATGAGACCCAATTAGTTACAGAGAATTTGCATTTCAGTTTGTGCGGGGTAACAAGACTACAGGGAGGCTGAGCTCAAGTCCACCAGCAGAGGAAGGGTATGTGCTCTTTCCTGCGAGCTCTGTAAGCACTAATTCCCACAGTGACTGCTTAAAACGTTACTATCTTTTCAGTGTTTTGGTAGTGAGGTGAATTTGGGTCTTCCTTCTGTCTTCTCAAAAACTACACTTTGATGCAAAAGTAAGCCACAAATACTGAAGGACCATGTCAAAGAAGGCTGTTCTGCATGTGCTTTTGGAATAGACTAGTTTGTTTACTGTGTTTGTTTGTTTGTTTGTTTGTTTTTAAAGGTGGAATAATCCATCTTTTTGCTTTCTTTATATTTTTAAAGACAAGGCCTCACCATGTAGCCCTGGCTGGTTATTATGTGGACCAGGCTGACTTCAAGAGATCTACCTGCCTCTGCCTCTCAAAAATGTGCTCCACCGTGCACATTTACTTTTCCTCTTAGTATTTAATTTCTTTAAAATGCACTGCTCCTTAAAGTCACTCTTTGCCAGGGAACAGAGACCCTATGTCAAGGCCATGGTTCTGTGCTAAGATACTCACGCACTGCACTAAGAAAAAAATTGGAGGGCTTCCTTTTATTATTATTGTTATTGTTATTATTCTGTTCTTTTTTTTTCATAGCTGTGACTGCAACAATGTAAATCCTGAGCAGATATAAAATAAATGTATGGTTTGTGTACACAATTGAAGACGTATCCCCAGGACTTCCGATGGCTTGTAGAGCTACCTGTGATTCCCTGGGTTCAGTTCAGAGCTGTTAGCAGATTCTGGGATCTGTGATGACAGTCTACTGGTCTTTGCTCTTCTTTCATTCACTATTCATTTCCAAAGCTGGTTAAGGACAGAGCTGGGTTAAAGATCAGCGGGTTTTCATGTGACACACACACACTGGTATTCATCTAATG